TGTTGAATTTTCTTTTTAATTTGTTTTGTTATTTGTTACTAATTTTATAATTGGATGAACTTGTTGAATTTTGAAGATCCGTCTAATTATAGTATTCGTTTTTAACTCATCTATTTTTAGAAGAACAATTCATACTGATTTATATATGAATGTATATCTATAAAGTTACATTTAGTATGTTATTATTAAAGTTTCCTACCTGACTTTTGATCAAATGGGGAATAATCATCAAATTTTTTCCTTTAATACAAACACAAAATAAAGTAAGCATATTCAGTTTTAACCTTTTATGTTTATAATATGTCACAAGTAAGTAAATATACCAACAAGTGTTCATTAACTAGAAAGCAATTTAAATATTTATTACTCCATTTCCCTATTATTTATTATTCACAGTGGTATTTATTACTACTGTATTAGTTTTTTCTACACCAATTTTTACCGATTTACTGTATTTTTTTTCTTATACTAATTTTTAGTATATGATTTGCTTCAATCCAGATGAGTTAAAATTGTATGCACACTATACTTTTTCGATACTGATTTGCCATGGAAAATGGGAAAACTTATGAATGGTTTTCAGCAAATGCAAATTATGAATTGATCGAATTTTTTTTTATACTTTTTGCTGGAAAATGGCAGGAAATTGTGGAATTAGGTTTTGGTATATGTTTCATCCATGGCCGGAACTGCCAAGGGACACCATACCGGAGAGGAAGGAGGAGCAGGAAGCTCCGATGGCGTTTTTGAGCCGTCAATGGATAAATTTCCAGTCCATATAATAAGTTGTATATTGGAAAAATTGGATTTGGAATCTGTTTGCACCGCCGCTTGTGTCTCTCCGACTTTCAGTTCAGCCGCCGCACAAGTTCTCCCTTCTCTATCGTCTCTCGATCTTTCAGTACGTCAATTTTTTTTCCTAATTGAACGCCCTAATTTTATTGATGTAGTTAGATAAAATGAGTTAATTAGCAGCCTGATTGAGCAGAATACATATGAAATTAGCAAATTAACAAACACTAGGTGATTTCGTGTGTAGAGTTACTTGCTTTAGGTTGCTGGTGGGAGGTGACATGTATTGCATGGAATTAGTCGAGGTGCATGCAAGTTGTCCCGGACCACGGTTAACAAAAGATAATAATTTCAATTCAATCGTCTCGAGTTAATGTTAAGTGAAATATGTTGTTCCTAGATTATCTAAAATCTTTTGTTGGATTTGTATACTCATTGATTATTACGAAATGAAATGAGTGTGAATAGAGTGGATTAGAACTCCAGGACTTATGTAGAGGAGATCATTTAATTTAGGATTGAGACGTCGTTGATTGATTATCTTAGGATTGCTTTGACTGTGAGAATTTATTGAGTTTATTGCTGGTTGATTTAGATTGACCTATTTCCGATGAATCTTATGAGTATTGAATAGAGTAAAATGCATATGGAGAATGTGCATTGATTGGGATTGATGCGTAATTGACTGTTCATTTAACCATCTTTAGTTTTGCTAATGCAATTTCTACTTCTGGGATGAAATTTTAATACTAGTATCTTTGATTTACAGGGATATTATCTCGATGAAGAGACTCTACAACAAGTCGTGCGTAGGGTCCAAGGAGCCAAGAGTTTAACTATTGATTGCCTCCAACTGAAGAATGACACCTCCATTTTCAATATTCTCGGTGAACATATCGAAGATTTGAGTTTGCTCAAATGTTCCTCTCTGTCTTACCACATTCTTAGTGCAATTAGAGGAAGGTGTCCCAACTTAAGGTATTCTCCCATGTCAAACTTCATTTTTGCTACTTTCAACAATTGACATATATAGGTAATTCACCGGTTTATAAATTCTCATCATTGATGTTAAGAGCTTTACAAGTGGTTGCAACCATTTTGTTAGGGCTTAATTAGAAGGCGTCAATCGCCTCTATTGATGGATTTTCAGACTGTTATTATCCTGAAATTCTCTCTGCATTAATGGATTTTATCTAGTTTTAATAGTTCACTTGAGCCATTACATTACAACTTGCTAAAGCTGATTTGTATTTTTTTCCCCGATATATCTGAAGCACATTTGTTAATTTGTGAACCAATTCATCTATCTGCTGAATTTAAATTTTTTCTTTGTTGACCCTTGATGGTATCTGAATTCCTTTAGGCTGTTTGGGTATAGAAAACTGCGACCTGTGTTAGCTTTTGTGCTTGGTATTCTTTAATTTCACTCTATATATCCATCTTCAGAAGATGGAACAGTCAAGATCATTAAGTCCATTGTGGTTACACCAACAATATGTTACTTTCATAATCTTGTCATTTATCCCTGGATTTATTTCCAATGTATGTTTTCTTTTTTTCTATTTTCCTTTTTCTGAATCAGGTCCTTGCTTATTGAATTTGCTGGGTGTGAAGATCCACAACTTTTCAAAAACAAACTTACAGAAATGCTCCAAAAGTTGACCTTGTTAGAGGTGAAGTATTCTCATCTTTCACATACTTCGCCTTTCTTCTTCAAATTGTCCCCGGTGCCTCTTCAAGCTTATTACTCTTACAACAAAGAGTTTTTTCTTTAGAGAGTTAGTTTTATGATTTTTTTTCCTTTCCTGCAGGTGCTGTCCATAAAAATCCGAGGGACCTACTTTGATGTATTTGATATACGACCTCTTGAACTATTTCTGCCCAAGAGTTTAAAAAAATTGAAGTTACAGCAAACGGAGGGACGCAAATTTGTCCATTGGTTAGATAAGATCAGGGATATCCCTTGGTTCAACTTGCAAAGCTTATCTCTTGTCTTGGACGTTATATCAGATAATCTTCTCATGACAGTTGTGTATTCTCTTCCTCTTTTGGTGGAGCTGGATCTTGAAGACAGACCTTTTATGGATCCAACGATACTGGACTTGACTAACATTGGACTGCAGTGTGTGCAGTCCTGCAAGCATCTAATTACCCTCGCAATTGTTCGAAGTAGTATGAATTATCCCACTGCATTTACGAGGGTGGACAATATGGGCATGTTCCTTCTTTCTGAAGGTTGTGGAAGGTTGGAATCAGTGAAACTTGGTGGGTTTGCAAACGTTACTGATGCTGGGTTTTCGTCAATTCTGTACTCATGCCGGAAACTGAAGAAATTTGAAGTGTTGACTTCACCTCTATTATCAGACTTGACGTTTCATAATATGAGAGGAGTTGCAAGGTCCCTAATTGAATTCAGGTTGATATCATGCAGGCTTCTAACTAGTGAAGCTTTGGAGGATTTGTCCTCATCGAGTAAGTTGGAGGTACTTGACACAAGTGGGTGCAGAAGCATTGCAGACCCCTGTCTCTTCTTCATATCAAGTGTTACTACACTCACAAAACTAAACTTAGCAGAAGCTGATATCACTGATAAGGGTCTTGCTTTGCTTGGTATGGGAAACTTGGGCATTACGCAGTTGTGCATCAGAGGCTGTAAGAGAGTAACTGACAAGGGAATTGAGCTTTTATTTTGTGCTGAGGGGAAAATTGGCAAGACGTTATCATTGTTGGATGTCAGTCACATTCCCGGAATAACTGATGCAGCTATATTTGCCATTGCATCTGCTGCTAAAGCATTAACTGATTTATGTCTAAGGTGCTGCTATCATGTGACTGATGCTGCAGTGAAGATGTTGGTGGATAGACCAAATCACAAGGGTAGTCTACTGCAAAAGCTTGATCTTTTTAAATGTCGAAGTCTGTCTGGTTATTCGATAATGCTACTTATGCACAAGTCTTCTTTCCGTGGTTTGCGCTGGCTTGGTGTTGGAGGTACTCTGTTAGTCAATAAAAGAAACAATTTCTCCACAATATGCAATGTGCGACCCTGGCTGGTTGTGTGTTTTGATGGCTGCCAATTTGGGTGCCATGATGGTTGGGAATTTCATCGGACCATTATGCATCGTTAACAGAAGGCAGATTTTTTAAGAGGAAATTCAACAGATCAAGATGGACCTCATCCTTGGCATCTCAAAGGCTGGCCGCGCGAAGTTCCCTTTTACATAGTAGTAACATTTCAATTAGGTATCTCCATATTTGAGTAGCACAAGTTGGTGATGCATGTTGGATTGCTTCCTAGGCTGCAACCCATCTTTTGCGTCTCTACTTGTGCTTGAGCAAGACTCTGTTTATTTTATTTTAGCCTTCTCCCTTAGTTTAGGCATTGTTGTGCTTTATTAGCTCTCTATTGTAATGAACCACCTTTTGAATTACAAACACCCTGTTAAACCGTTTTAAATGAACCATGATCATTGATCGATTATATTTGCTCTCACTCATACTTACTTGTCTACTATACTAAATATAGATGTCCACTTTTACTTTCCAAGTTTGAAAAATCAAAGATATAATTTACCATTTTTATACTTATTTAGCCCTTGTTATTAAAGTAGTATTCATTTCCTAATCGTTTGGTAGAGTGTATTAGCAAAAATGCATGCATTAATTATATGTATTAGTAATCCCTTGTTTGGTGCATTTTTTCATGCAGCATTAGTTATACACTCTATTGTGTATACCATGGATTTCTAGGTATTAGTAAATAGTAATGCAAAGGATTTAATACATGCATTAATATGGTTAAAAGTCAATTACCCCTCAAAAGTACTTTTACATCTTTTTCACCATAATTGTGAATGATACTTTTGTAAATAAATATTTTTATACAATGCATACTATTTTTAATACACCAAACCAAACAATGCATAAGAAATAATCTATGCATAACTAATACACTCTATTGGGTATTATTTTTAAGTCCAAACGCCAACTTCTAGTAATTAAAAGGGTTGGAAGGGCAGGTTACAAAGGAACGCAAACATGTACTAGTAATCAGTTTACGTTAAACAAAGTGCACTCTGATTAAAAGCTTGTAACTTGTAAAGACAAAAACCTCAACCACTTTCTGGCATTTCCATAATTGTGTTGTGCCCACAAGAATAGTAGTAGGTAATAATAACATATGGGGAAACTAAAACTAAGGAAAAACAAAAAAATAAAGTTACTATTTTGATTCCTATATTCCATACACGTGATTTCCTAAACTCGCAAAGATGTAGGTACTTGCTACAGAGGAAATTAAATAAGAGCAAGAAAACAATCCATCTACTTTCAAATAAAAGCAGTTCGTCCGCCCCTCCTACTATGCCTCTCGTATGCAGTGTTGAATTTGTCAACAAGCTCGTTCATTGTACTGCAACCATCAATAAAACAAAGACGTTAGATTCTTTATGATTTGGCTCATGGACTTCACGAAATCAGACATGACCAAGTGCACTACAAAATTTGTGGTAATACTTGTGACAGCAACTTATTTACCAGCACTTGCACTGTTCCACACTTATAGCTCTATTTTAATAGTACTAATTTGCAGATGGAGCTTAACTAATAAACAGTTTTGACGAGCTTAATTGAGAGATAAAGCTGCCTATGAACATACAAGTATAACAATATCAATTGGAAAGCCCATGGGTGTATTTAGCATAAACCTCTCTTCCGTATATCACAGCAGCCTCAATTAAGTACCTTTGATGAATTCTATTCCTTTTTTTATCAGGTGAGACAACTACTACCTCTGATGAATTTATTTCTTCTATCCGCTGTAGTCATTATCATTATTATTATTCCATCAAGGTACACTTTAGTCCTAAAAACTATATTACACTGGAAAATATATCAAGAATGAAAATGAGAAAGAAGAAAGAAGAAAGAAGGGGCGTAAAAGTTCATGTTAAAAGCTAGTTGAACAATTTTTACCAAATCACAAAATAACATATCATGATGATCAAATTAAAAAAAAAAAAAAAAAAAGTTGTAGAAGCCTCAAACATCATACCTAGAGCAGTTGGTGAACATGGCGAGGTAACTAACTAATAATGTGTCATTATACTCCTGCAACAAAAGAAAGAACAAATTAAAATGATAGAATCAGACAAGCAGTCAAGGTGCACTACAGCAAATATAAGATCTCTCATAACCAATTTGCAGGTCATAACTCGAACTAGTAGTCACCATTTACAGATCTTGAGGTTCTAATCAGGGAACCAAAAAGAAGAAACCCAGTGAACTCTAGTGAAGATACACACAAACAGACAGACAGACACACACACACACACACACTTGTGTATCTGCAACTCTACTGAATAAGCTCAAAATGCACTCACCATCAAGAAATCATCTCTAAATTTCTCCGACTCAATAGCTGGTAATCTTCTTAAAAGACTAGAGACCTGCCTCAAAAGTGAATTATCACAAGGGATATCACCTGCACCCACAGAAACTACAACATTAAAATCTTTGGATAAATAAATAAACTCATCAGGCAAACATTTGAGGAGCAGAAATGTCAAGGGAAAAAATATTCCTCTTAACTTATACACAGTTTCTAAGTCTATCTCAAGCATCTGGATTCACCTGTCCATTTAGGGAAAACTTAACTTTTACTCGAGTTGTATAATATAAATATATAATAAATTTTAAGATGATTAGGTGAGTCTCCCAGTTAAAGCACTTCCTTCACAATCAATTTAAATGTAATTTCAAGTCCCAACAAGTTCTAAATACCTTTTTGCATTGCAAGCAGATAGTGATGTAGCACTCTGATTCTGCTATTCAGCATCTTAATGGCACTATGTATGCCAGTGAGGTGGGCAGCCACTGTAGAAAACAGAACATGTAAGTCCTAGACAAGCTCTGCCATTGTTGGTAGTGGAGAAGATAAAATAGCAGATGATTCTAGTATTGTTAAGCACTGTTGCAAGCTTGGAATTGCAAAAAAAAAAAGAAAAAGAAAAAGGAAGTTAATAGTGCTCACACTGAGTTGCAGCAGAACCTCCATCAGATGGTTTAAGATGAGCAACATGATCAACAGAAATCCGTTCAGCTTCAACAGTCTAGCAAGCAATGAGATATTTGAAAAACACAAAGGATTTGATTAAGGTGCTCCCAAGAACTAGTTGACAAGACAAAAAAAATTGGTAAGACTGTACCTCTATCTGGTAGCTTGCTTGGACAAAAATAAGTTGTGGGATGCCATCAATGACGTGCAGCTCTTGGTACCAACAAACAGTTTCAAAACAAAAATATTAGGCACCAGAAGAACTTATTTCACAAAAACAGCTGCAGCTAGATGATGTTTATAAATATATTTTATTCTAACAGGGACAACAAGACAAATTTCTGCCAATAAAAGTTGCCACATTGATTTCAGATATTCATCATAGAGCAATGGTCATATTGACTATATACACACCACTTTCATAGATAGTAAGTGGCAGGTCCTTCTGTGCATGATTGATGGAAGGATTGAGAAGCACGTACACAGGACTTTCATTGATATCCATCAACTGATACAAAGAAATATATAACAAGGTTATTTGTTGCCAAATACATAATATTCTTATTGTAGATGGACAATAACTATGGAAAGAAATACAATCTATTAGAAAGATTAGGCAAATTAATCATCTCCAAATAAAGTAATATTTGAATCACAGGCCTTGACTGACATATCCCATCCCCACCCCAAAAATGAAACTACCTTCACAAACAAAAGAAGATGTTACAATAGCCCTACTCCACTAAATAATGATTGAGACCATGAAACATCAATAGCACTTTTCTTTCCTCTTGTAATTCTGATGTTCAAAGATATATGATCAAATCATTCCCCATCGAGAGTATAATGCTGGGGCATCTCGTATAAACTGATCCTCTTGTGATAGTTTTCCAGTACTAAATCATCCAAAGGTTATGACACAGGTGTCAGCACCTCTTCTTCACTGTGATACTAAAACCATTTGAGGAAGAAAAGACAGAGAACATGACTCGATAATCTTTTTATATACAAGTATTTATGTAACACATGCTTGGTATGGTACCAATTCTCCACCTCCTATTACAATTTTTGCTTCACCTCTACCTACCATATGTGAATTGAAAAGGCAGCCATTTGTTTCTTGAAAAGACACAATTTCTACTACTAAATATTATTAACTTCCTGAATAGCATCATTCTATGGAATTTATAGTCATCTTTTCCCTTTTACCAGATAACCATCCTCTCTTTCGCACGCAGAAAAGTACGAGTTGCCTTGAGTTCTATCTTTCTCCTCTTAATTAACAAGCAAAAATAACAAAAAGTGATAAATAAGTTTGAAAACAAAAGGAATTCAATAAGGTGATCAAATACAAATTTCCGGAGATGTAAAGAACTCACAGCTTTGTGAATAAGCATATCCGATTCTTGTGCATCACTCCCCGATGAATACCATCCCAGTACATAAAAGTTAGGGAAAACCTTCTTATCTGCACAAAATTCCCAGCTTAAGTATTATGAGCTACAAACGTAACTGTATATAGAATTTCAACTATCAAGTTATCAAAAACCAGCTACAAGCTATTGTTAGTCTTAGACATAACTTGGTAATTGTCTATCTTAAGCATAGGTTGATACCTCAACAAAATAAGACAACTAACCTGCCACAACAGATCAAACACTGCTACAATGGTATAAGATAAACTCATGAAAGTATATAAAATTCAATCTCAAACTAATTCGAGTAGCAATATGGATGACGGATCATGTGTTTGCTCTATTCACGCTCATATCATTCTAATACAATATAGTTTGCCTTTTATAACCAAATTAATGATTTACTAAAACTGGAATTATGAATTCTAAAGGTGAAGAAAACTCACAGAGCTCCTGCTTCTTCTCGAGGAAAGCGCGGTCGAGGGAGTGAGTAGCGGGATCATAGAGTAGTTCGAAGCTGTTGAAGATCTCAACAGTACGACCACTCTGTACGCCGATTACACAGCCGAAAACCCTAGGCGGTGCGGAAGGTGAATCAGCACCGTTGGAGGAGTGGGAAGAAGGAGGTTGGGATTGGGACTTGACACGAGTGTAGTGATCCGATACGTTGAGTATCACCAAAGGATGAAGCTTAAATGTCAAGCCGCTACTCGACGATGACGCCATTATCACCGTTCCTCTTCCCGGAGCTGCCTTAAGGTTCGCCGGGGAACAAATTTCGGAGAAGAGAAGAAGGGTAAATTTTCAATTTCTGCCGTGGGCTCTAATTCATTAATTTTCTATTCTGCTTTCAAAAGATATACTAATTTTTATAGTATAAAGTGATAAATTCTACTGTAAATGACAACTTTGTTAATAAAACTTAAAGGAGTTAACTTTGAGAAAATTGTATGAAATAACAAATTATTAATTCAAATTAAATGTTATAGCCATAATTTTTTTTATTTGTAATTCGTAGCAAACATTCCATGTTTTTTGTCATTCCATTTGTATACCGAAATATACAAATGTAGGACCCATTTATATACCGATATATACAAATGCAGAATTCATTGTATACTGAAATATACAAATGCATGACCCATTTGTATATCGAAATATACAAATGCAAGACTCATTTGTATACCGAAATATGCAAATGCAGGACCCATTTGTATATCGAAATATACAAATACAGGACCCATTTGTATACCGAAATATACAAATGCAAGACCCATTTGTATACCGAAATATACAAATGCAAGACCCATTTGTATACTGAAATATACAAATAGACCAAAATACAGATTTTTTATGTATATGTATATCGAAATATACAGATTAATAGTCATAGCAAACATAAAGTTTGTTATAGAGCGCAATTATACAAACTATAACTATAACATACAAATATGATTTTTACGTTTGGATTCTATATAGCTATAACATACAAATAGTTGCTCTTGATTATATACACAGCTATTTCTCGAAGGATGAACCTTGAACTAGTTTGGATTCTATATGGATATTGAACTTTCACATATGGCAGTTTTTGTATAGTAGTATCTGGATGGTTAATTTTTTTTTTTTATGCCATAGAGATTCTGCATCTTAATCTTACTGAAAAGTTTGTATGCATGCTGATAATTGATTTCAGCTTTCCTTATATATAGACAGTTGGATCTTTTTACAATTTTTCTCATAGAGAATACTCCCCCCCCCCCCCTCGTGATGTACTTAATAAATTGTGAAGCATCAACATCCCCTATGCTAAGAGATGTTATTTACATCACGCTCCTTGGGTGCCACCTTTCTATGGGCTCTTTGTGAACACGAGAGTTCACAAGATGCTTTGTGCATCGAGCTGTCCTTTTTAATTTGCAAAATGTTTGATGGCTAGGCTTATTTCTACTTAACAGTGGTAGGTCAACCATTATCTTTTATCTAACATGGTTAAATAGCTTCATGGTAGATTTATTTCATGTGGCAAAAATTAGTGGTCAATGAGCATAGAGTTGCAAGGAACCAAAAGATCTCTCACTACATCCTAGAGGGAGCTTTGTTGTCCTTCTCAATCAATTAGTCTACCTATAGGGTGGAAATCATATCACAAAAAAAATTACTCACTAATACACACAAAAAATTAAGAAAATCGCCCACTTTCTTTTGAGTGGTTCCTAAATGTTATAAAAATGGTGTGAATTATGGTGAGAATATATGTACCACTCCGTCAGGTTATTAGAAAGAATCCTAAAAAGGTTTTGCAAAAAAAGTGCATGAAAGTCGTATCACTAAAAAATTAATTAGCTAGCACACGAAAATATGAGAAAATTGCCTAATTCCTATTGAGTGGTCCTAAATGCTAAAAAAATGGCGTGAATCATAGTAAGGCTATCCGTACCGCTCTCCCAAGTCATTATGGAGGATTATGTAAAATTTTTGAAAAAATAGTGTCCAGAAACCATATCATCGAAAAATTCATTGACTAACACACAAAAACTGAGAAAATGGCCTAATTTTGTTGAGTGACTTCTAAATGCTAAAAGATCGACGCAGATTAGGGTGAGGCTATACGTACTGCTCCCATAGGTAATAACGGTTTTGCCAAAAAAGTGCTAAGAAGTCATATCACTAAAAAATTCATTAACTAACACACAAAAAATTGAGAAAATCGCCTAATTCTTGTTGAGTACCCCCTAAATGTTGAAAATATGGTGCAGATTATGGTAAGACTATATTTACCACTCCCCCCAGGTCATTACGGAGGATCCTGTAATGCAAAAAGTGCCGGAAATCCAAATCACCAAAAAATTCATTAATTAACACACGAAAACTAAGAAAATTGCATAATTCTAATGAATGGCCTCTAAATGATAAAAAAAAATAGCACGGGTCATGGTGAGCCTATACATTCCGCTCCACCAAGTCATAAGGATGGTATTGAAAATGTTTTGCAAAAAAAGTGACTAGAAGCCATATAAACAAAAAATTTGTTGCCCAACACTCACAAAAAAACAAAAAAAACCACCTAATTCTTGTTGAATGACTCTTTAATGCCAAAAAAAGGAATGGATCATGGTGAAACTATATGTATCACTCCTCCATGTCATTAAAGAGGGTCCTGTAAAGTTTTTTCATAAAAATAGCTCGTAAGCCCGTAACTCTGGGCCTCGTTTGAACTTGAAAATGCAGATGTTTGCCCATCGGGACCAACTCACACCATTAATAAGGTCTTAATTGACGCCTAAAAAAAATTTCACCCAAAAACCAGTTGGGATCACATATCACCCAAAATCCGTGGACTATAACACATGTAAAATGGTAAATTTGGTATTTCCTACTCTAGGCTTCGTTTGTACTTGAAAATATGGATGTTTGCCCCTCGGGCCCAACTCACGCCATTAGTAAGGTCTTAACGGATGCCCGAAAAAAAGAGGCCAAAAACCCATCGAAATCACGTATTACCCAAAATTCATGAACTATAGCACACGTAAAACGGTAAATTTGGTCATTCCCGCTCTAGGCCTCGTTTGAACTTGAAAATGCGGATGTTTGCCCCTCGGACTAACTCACACTATTAAAAAGGTCTCAACGGACGCCCACAAAAAAGTCCAGCCAAAAAACCATCGGGATCATGCATCATCCAAAATCCATGGACTATAGCATACGTAAAACGGTAATTTGGTCATTCCCGCTCCGAGCCTCATTTGAACTTGAAAATGCGAACGTTTGGCCCTCGAGACCAACTAACACCATTAATAAGGTCTTAACGGATGCCCAAAAAAAATTTCGACAGAAAACCCATCACGATCGCGTATCACCCAAAATTCATGGACTATAACACACATATAACGATAAATTTGGTCATTTCTATTGTGTGCCTCGTTTGAACTTGAAAATGCATACATTTTCCCCTCGAGACCAACTTACGCCATTAATAAGTTCTTAACGGATGCCCACAGTAAATTTCTGCAGAAAACCCATCACGATCGCGTATCACCCAAAATCATAGAGTATAACATATATATAATGGTAAATTTGGTCATTCCTATTGTGGCCCTCGTTTGAACTTTAAAATGTAGACATTTGCCCCTCAAGACCAATTACGCCATTAATAAGGTCCTAACGGACCCCTAAAAAAAATTTGGCCAAAAATTCAAAGAAATCACGTATCATCCAAAATCTATGGACTATAGCACACGTAGAACAGTAAATTTGGTCATTCCCGTTGTAGGCCATGTTTGTACTTGAAAATATGGACGTTTGCCCCTCGGAACAAACTCACGCCATTAATAAGGTCTTAACGGACACTCACAAATAATTTTGGTCAAAAATCCGTCGGGATCACCTATCACCCAAAATCCATGGACTATTATAACATATGTAAAATGTTGAATTTGGTCATTCCCTCTTTAGGCATCATTTGAACTTGAAAATGTAGACGTTTTCCCCTCGGGACTAATTCACGCCATTAATAAGGTCTTAACAAACGCTTACAAACTTTTTTGGCCAAAAACCTATCGGGATGACGTATTATCTAAAATTCATGAACTATAGCACACGTAAAATGGTAAATTTGGTCATTCACGCTCCGAGCCTCATTTAAACTTGAAAATACAGACGTTTTTCCCTCGGGACCAACTAACGCCATTAAAAAAGTCTTAAAGGTCGCCCACAAAAAGTTTTGACCAAAAACCCGTCGAGATCACGTATCACCGAAAATTCATAGACTATAACACACGTATAATGATAAATTTGGTCATTCCCACTATGAGCCTCGTTTGAACTTGAAAATGCATACATTTTCCCCTCGAGACCAACTTACGCCATTAATAAGGTTTTAACGAACCCCCACAATAAATTTCGGCAGAAAACCCATCATTATCGTGTATCACCGAAAATTCATAGACTATAACATACGTATAACGGTAAATTTGGTCATTCCCGTGGTGGGCCTCGTTCAAACTTGAAAATGAACACATTTACACCTTGAGACCAACTTACGCCATTAATAAGGTTTTAACGGACGTCCACAATAAATTTTGGCCAAAAACCCATTGAGATCACGCATCATCCAAAATCTATGAACTATAGCACACGTAGAACAATAAATTTGGTCAAATCCGCTCCGAACCTCGTTCAAACTTGAAAATGCAGACGTTTGCTTCTCGAAATAAACTCACGTCATTAATAAGGTCTTAACGGACACCCACAACTAATTTTGGTCAAAAACCCATCGGAATCACCTATCACCCAAAATCCATGGACTATAGCACATGTAAAACGTTAAATTTAGTCATTCCCGGGCCTCGTTTGAAATTGAAAATGAAAATGCGGACGTTTACACCTTGGGACCAACTCACGCCATTAATAAGGTCTTAACAAACGCTTACAAAATTTTTTGGCCAAAAACCTATCGATATCACGTATCATCTAAAATACATGGACTATAGCACACGTAAAATGGTAAATTTGGTCATTCACGCTCTAGGCCTCGTTTGAACTTGAAAATGCGAATGTTTGCCCCTCGGGACCAACACACACCATTAATAAGGTCTTAACGGATGTCCATAAAAAATTTTGGCCAAAAACACGTCGAGATCACGTATCACTCAAAATTCATAGACTATAACACACGTAAAATAGTAAATTTGGTCATTTCCGCTTTGGACCTTGTTTGAACTTAAAAATACGGACGTTTGCCCGTCAAAACAAACTCACACCATTAGTAGC